CAGAAGCATTATACCATCCGCTGGGCCCTTACAGTATCAGATTGTTTACATACAGACTTACCATTAAGTTACAGTTGCCTACTGTACTCAGGACAGGTAGGTCGGTAGCCTAGGGGCTATACCAGCTGGCCTGGTGGATAGGAGGTTATGCCATCTAGATTTGTGCAAGTACACTCTAGGATGTTCACTCGATGGTGAGATCACCTAATGATTAGGAATCACCGAATGATCCTACCCCTGTCATTAAGTGATGCATGACTGTAATTACAACTTTATTCTCATAAAAGCTCAGAACTCCAAAAAAAACCTTGAAATATTTGAAGCAATAATGATTCAGAATTTCCTCAAATGTATGTCAGAAACCAAACCATAGATCTAGGAAATTCAGAGAACACTTGGTAAACATATATTAAAAACAAATGAACTATAGCTAAACATACCATATTCACAGAAAATCAAAGATAAAAAAAAATCTCAAGAGGCTAGCAGGTGGCATGGTGCTTAAAGGTGCTGGATTCCCACATGGCCAACCATGGTTCAAATCCTGGACCTAGTGGCTTGTTTTCTTACCGTCTCTCTCTGGTCAAACAGGAAACTATTAATAATAATAACAGAAAATAAAGTTAAGTAAAACAATTCTAAAAAAAAATCTTGAAGTCAGGAAAAGAATAATATCCTTACATAGAGGAAGTAAAGAAATAAAGATAAGAATTCCAGCTGGCTCCTCCAAAATCACGTGAGCAAGAAAATAGTAGAATGGCATTTAAGTTGTTAAGAGAAGAAAAAAATCTAGCGTTCTGTATCCTATAATATTTTTCAAAAGTGAAGAAGAGGGGGACCGGCAGTTAGCGTAATGGCTATGTCACTGGACTCCCATGTAGTCGACCGCGGTTCAAGTCCCAGACCTGGTGGCTTAAACTCATGCTGGGCGCGTGTGTGTGCATGCCCAAGATCCCGAGAGGAGAATGGAGGAGAAGGGATTGCGGCGTGGCCATCCCCTCTGGGGGGTGATTTCTCGCTTTCTATCTCTCTGTCTCTCTCTGTCTTTCTGGCGAGCGCACACGCCCGATAAGAAAAATAAATAAATAACCTCTCCAAAAAAAAGAAGAAAAAAAAAAAACCGTGAAGGAGAGGGCCAGGCTCGTGGCATAGTGGTAGCACAATGCTCGGCAATGCTGAAACCACATGGGAAGGTGCGAGGGCCACATCAGAAGCTTCCCTGAACATGCTGGGTGCCCACATGCCCATGATCCAGCCTGGAATGGACCGCGGCACTCTGTGGCAGTGCTCTCTTTCTCTCTCTCTCATGGAAAAATAAATAATTTTTTGTTTGATTTTCGTTTTTAGTTTTTCCTGGTGTGTGTTTATGTGTGTGTGCTCGGCGGAGAGAGAGGAAGTGAGAAAGCACCCCCCAGGGGGATGGTCACAGTGCAATCCCTTCTCCATTTTCTTCTTGGGATTTTGGGCTTGTATGCACATACACCTGGAGCGTTTTTCAAGCTGTAGGGTCTACAACTTAAATTGTGTGGTGACCATGTGGGATCCAGCCACCTTAACCACCAGCTGGCTCAATAATATTTTTTAATTTAAAAATATTAAAAAAAAAAAAAGGAAGAAAAAGAAAGGTATGCAGGCTGCCCTCTTCAAGCAGGTGAGGGGCGAGGCCACCGGGAGCCAAGGAGCAGGTACCACAGTCTTCTGGCTCCGGGAGAAGCGCCCAGCCCTGCAGTCTCTGCTCAGTTCCCAGGACTCCGGGCCCTTTCTGCCATATGGAGGACACGGGCCTCACATACTGCACACGGGCCGTCCCAGTCCACTAATCACTTCCCTGCACTCGCTTTCACAAGGCCCACAGCAACCCGAGGCTGGCAGCAGAGGCACTGCCTCCTCAGGTATCACAGGTGGAGGAACTGAAGCTCCGATGCTAGCAAATGTGCCAAAGGTCACACAGTTGGTGACAGAGTTGGGACCTGATCCAGGTCTTCTTGAGGCCAGGCAGGCTCTCAGAGGCCACACAAAGGATCAGGAGAATCTTCACCTGATTGCTGGGCCACCGTACCAAGTATCTTTTGTATTAATATTTATTTTAGACAGAGAATTGCTGTGTGTCTAGCCTCCTGCCTTGGTCTCCCAAATAGCTGAGACTAGAGGCATAAGCCACTATACTTTAGGATGGGCCAGGAATTGAACCAGGTCTCCCATGTGGATTCCACCTGCTGAATAGCAATGTCCACCCATGTGTGCAATTGCAGCAAGGCCTGTACCAAATGCCTTTCTAAATAATCTCTGTCCTGGAGTGGAGATGGGAAAAGGACAGGGACAGGCAGACTCAACCTACAGATGACCAAGTTAAGGAAGGAAAAACTGACGGATTGACTCAGTGGCAAAGCGAGGCATGAACTGTGAGCTCTCTTCTTGATCCAGACCAGGCAGCTGACAAGGGCACAATCCTCTCCCTCCTGCCTGCCCAGGGCAGCCTTCACTGTGGGCACCAGCTGGGCCCGAGGCTCACTCACATTTTGTACCAAAAATCCAGGAGCTCACAGCCCTCCCTCCTCCAGTGGAGCCGTGGCATTAGGCAAGGCCCATGTGCTGCGGGCCTCTGCTGCCCTCATTTCCTGGCTAGAGACCTAGATAGAGTGTCTAAATTTTCCTGCCGCTGACTACTGCCCCAGATCTGGCCTCTCTGATGGAAAGGCTGTCTCTCCCCGTTGGTGGCGGTGTCTGTCAGTGCATGTTGTCCCCAGGATTCCTGAATCACATTCCTCAAATGTGTTGAAGTTGCTGACGACCCACCCAAAGTCTCACTGGGAATGTTTAGAACTATATGAAGAAAAGGCCAGAACTCTAATGCAAGACCTAGCTGAGCACTCCCCACAATGGCAGGGCCAGGCCCAACCTCTAGGGAAGAGAAGGAGGCCAGTGCTGTCACGATGCCAATCCTCAAATCCAAATGCAAATCTGCAATCTTTTATTCTTTTTTTGGTAATTGACAAAATAATTCTGAAGACCCACTGGAAAAATAAATAAGCAAGAATATTTGACAGCATTTTGGAAAAAGAAACATGAGTGGATTGTCCTACTGAATTAATATCAAGACATGATGTAAAGTTGCAAGAATCGGTACCAGCAGTTAACGTAATGGCTATGTCGCTGAACGCCCATGTAGTCGACTGTGGTTCGAGTCCCAGACCTGGTGGCTTAAACTCACGGCAGGCACATGTGCGTGTGTGCCCAAGAACCCGAGAGGAGAATGGAGGAGAAGAGATTGTGGCATGACCATCACCCCTGGGGGGTGATTTCTCGCTTTCTGTCTCTCTGTCTCTCTCTGTCTGTCTGGCGAGCGCCCATGCCCTATAGCAAAAACCTCTCAAAAAAAAAAAAAATTGCAAGAATCAAACCTGTTCATTCATTGATTCATTCTACAGACATTCAAGCAGCCCTCCAGTTGCTCCTGAGTCAGGTCCTACGAATGTCTGGGGTGCTTGTTGACTATAGGGCCTATTTCTGAGCCCGGAGAAGAGTGGTTGGGAAAGACGAGAAATAACTAAGAGCCAGGTCAGAGAGGCAGGCACAGAGTCAAGGCTGATGGCCCCAGCCCTGTGGCTTGCCTGAGAGTGGACAAGGAAAAGTGACCAGGCAAAGAGAGGTGGGCCTCCCCTGATCTTCACCTAATCGCTGACCATCATACCAAATGTCCTCCCTCCACAGGCTTCTCTGGACAAGCCGTTCTGCAGCTTCAGACCCCCAATAGTTCCCACAGAATGGGGTCATGATTAGTAACAATGCAATCATAATCCTTTTTTTTTTTAGAGAGGTTTTTGCTATAGGGCATGTGCACTCAGCAGAAAGAGAGACAGAGAGATAGAAAGCGAGAAATCACCCGCCAGGGGGGATGGCCACGCCGCAAACCCTTCTTCTCCATTTTCCTCCCGGGATCTTGGGTACATACACACACGCACCCAGCGTGAGTTTAAGCCACTGGGTCCAGGACTCGAACCTCGGTCGACTACATGGGAGTCCAGCGATGTAGCCATTAAGCCATCTGCCGGTCCATGATCATAATTCTAATAGACATGACATTCCCTAAGCATGTGCTCTGTGGCAACCACTTTACATAGGCAGCATCTCAATCCTCATAAACATCCCTAATGAGATCCGATCTGTTATTATCCCCATTTTTCAGAAAAGATTATTGATGTTCAGAGAAGTCAAATAACTTGCCCAAGGTCACACAGCTGCGAGAGGTGAAGGTCAAATACAAACAGAGCCTGGCTCAGAATCCACACTGCTAATCACTACCCTACCCTTCCTTCGGGTGTGGTAATGACGCCTCAGAGCAGGCAAAGCCTGCATGGACACTCTGAATAAAGTAGACTTCAAATATTTAGAGAATGAAGGACTTCGACCAGCCGTGTGTTCCAAATTGCGGGATGAAGCTTTCTCTAGAAGGCACACACCCATCCTTTCCACCCTCCCCCCAGGGCTTGCTGAAGGGAAACCCACTTCTTTTCAAGAAGCTTGGGGACCAGCAGTTAGCGTAATGGCTATGTCGCTGGACTCCCACGTAGGCGACCACGGTTCGTGTCCCGGACCCAGTGGCTTAAAACTCACGCCGGGCGCGTGTGCGTGCGTGCCCAAGATCCCAAGAGGAGAATGGAGGAGAAGGGATTGCAGCGTGACCATCCCCCCTGGGGGGTGATTTCTCACTTTCTGTCTCTATGTCTCTCTCTGTCTGTCTGGCGAGCGCACGCGCCCTACAGTGAAAATCTCTAAAAAAAAAAAAAAAAGAAAAAGAAAAAGAAACTATAGTGGGTCCTAAGCAGCACCATCTCACATGGCTCCCTGCTCTGCCCAGCAGTTTTCCTGCAGGTCCTCTGGGTGTGCGACTCCTCTACACCCTTCCCCAGTGCTGGAGACACAGCCAGTCCCCCATGGGGCCCCAGGACTGGGGGCAGAGGGAGGACCTGCCACCCTGAGTATCCTTGGCATGCACCTACCTCTCTCTGCTCCCGCTGAAGGCACAGCTCTTCTGTCTCTTCCATCAATTTGTCTGTCAGAGGAAGCACACAGGCGCGCACTCACCCAGCTTGCCCCACCAGGAGGGCCTGAGGACATGGGTGCCCCAGGTGGCCGCTGTCAGCCCCAGATCTCCCAAGGCAGAGGTTGGCTGGCTGGCGCCCCTGCTGGCCAGGAGGTGGGGCTGGCTCCTGGTGATGGAGGCTGCCCCTTGGCCTGAGCTGCTACCTTCATCATCATCCCAGCTTTGGACACTCACAGGCCGTTACAGGCCTCCTTGGCCGCTGAGGGTCTGTGCAGCTCCCAGGGTGCACCCAGCTGGTCCCCAGCCCACCTCCCCCTGCTCCAGTGCTGGCTGGTGGGGAGGGGCAGCCCTGGGGGTGGAAGGGAGGTGTCTGAGCAGCAGAAGGCAGCCACCACTAGGGCCTGCACCTAAGCAGGCACTGGAGAGGTAGGGTCTCAGCAAAGGAGCAAACCCCTAGTCTCCTAGTCTCACTTCTCTCCTAAATGGAGTGTGCTTACCCACCAGCCAGGGGCACAGGGACCTGAAACCCTGTGGACAGGTTTAAGGTGGTCTGGGGGTGGGAGGCAGATCCGGGGCCTGGGGGCTCAGGGTAGGATAACATCAACTCACTTAAGGAGCCCTTACTGCATGCCCAAGGCACAGGCTTCGAGGCGTTTTTTTCTCATTTAACCTAATTACACCCCACCTCCACCAGTTAGGGATTATTTCTTTTTCCATTTTAAAGATAAAGAAATTGAGGCTTAGAGAAGTTGAGCTGCCTAAAGGCATAAAATAGCGGATAGGTAAGTGACAGAACTGGAACCAGAGCCCAGGCTCCTAACCACCGAGCTCTCCTGCTGTCAGCCATGTTGGCCAAAAGGACGTTTATTGCACATTTATGGCACGGGGGGCCAAACTGGTCTCTGGCTCCTTGTAGTCTGTTAATCCCCACCTGAGCCATCTGACCCCACCCAGGGCCTCCGCTGAGCCCCTGGCTGTCGTTCCCAGCCCCCAAGAGCTACCATGAGGGAACCCCAGCATCCAGTGTCCCCTCCAGTCAACCTAAATATTCCTGCTTTTCCTTAGCCAACTGTAGCCCCTGGGCCTCCAGGCTCTTAATCATGGCTTCTCCCAGCTGGGCATTCTTCCAGGTGCTGGGGAGGGAGGGCAGATGGGACAGAGGAGAGAAGAGAAAGAAACACAGAATCATTAAAACCGAAGGCAGAGGAGAAAGAGAAGGTGTATGTTTTGTGCTCGGCTATCCTTCCTCCTGCAGATCTCAGCCTGGTGAACGCTGGCCCCCACAGCTTCTGGCATGCCACCAGCATCGAATGGTTACAGCAACTGGAGGCTGCCCAGGCTGCAAAGTGGGCCACTGCTCTTGGAGAACAGGGAAGAGATTGCTTCCCGGGTGGCTTTCTACCTAGAGTAAGGCCTGGCTCAGGGACATCCTCCGTGGTAGTAGTTGAACTGCAAGTGTGACCCAGTCCAATAGGCAGGTGCCAGGACAGGAGGTTATGGGCAGCTGGACTGACCCAGGCTGGGGGTCCTTGATCTGGCCCCTTGCTTACACAGTTCTAGCTCAGTCCTCACTAGGGTTAATTGTGAGGCTGAGGCGGTGAAATGGGTGTGAGGAGGTGCTGAATAAGACTAATGACGCTGGGACCAAAAGATGGCATAATGGTTACGTCACTGTACTCCCATGTAGTTGACCGCGGGACCCGCCAGCTTCAAACTCACTCTGGGCATGCGTGCCCAAGATCCCAAGAGGAGAATGAAGGAGAAAGGATTGTGGAGTGGCCATCCCCACCCCCCAGGGGGTGATTTCTTGCTCTCTGTCTCTCTATCTGGAAAGCGCATGCACCCTATAATAAAAATCTCTTTAAAAAAATGGCTACTGATGCTGGACTCACTCCTAGGACTTGGGGACTAATGTCCTCACTTTAACTCTAGACGTTTCCTCAGCTCACTTAGAGGGCCCTCCCAGATGTTCTACAACCTGGCCTGTCGCCCCTCGCCCGTTCTAGCCAACTCCCTGTGCCCACTGGGATCCTAGCAGAGAGACGGGAATCTAGGTGGGCTCGGCCCACAACCCTCCCCTCCTCTGGACCCTCAGGTGGCTCCTGTCTTGGCTGTGACACTTACACCTTCCCAGACTCCTGCAGCATCTCCAGCCACTGGGTCTGCTCAAACTCGGACTCGGCAGCCAGCAAGATGTTCCCCTGCCAGAAATAGGAGCCAGAGGCATGCCAGAGGTGGCCAAAGGGGTGACAGAGGCCCACCACACCTCCCTGAGCACTGACTGCCCCGCCCCCAGGCCAGGCCAGAGGAGGGCTTATCCCAAGGGAGCCTGAGTGGAAAGACCAACTTACATGGAAGTCCTGGTGGGAGATCTTCATGGCATAGGGCATGCTGGGCTCTTCCTTTGCCTCTACCAGGCAGCCCCCCAGAGGGATGACACCCTGGGGAAGAACAGAAATGGCCAGCCCCACCCCACCCAGCCCAAGTTACTCAAGCCCCCTAGGGACACTTAGGCAAAGTCGCACCTTCCCATAGGCCCTAGGGAGGGAGCCAGATTCTGAGGCTACTGGACAGAGAAGAGACCGGAATTGATTCCCAGTGGAGAGAGGGACAAGAAGAGGGGTCAGGTCAGAAGGGGACAGGGAGCCTTTGCCCCAAGAGGACTTGCTCTCCAGGCTCTGCGAGAACAGAGTAAGCACACGTCTCCCCTCGTCCCCTCGGGGCCCTCCGCAGTGGCCGGGGCAGGGCGGCCTCACCTTAGGATGTATGTTGAAGTACTTATTGGTCTCAAAGCTCTTCCTCTCACTCTCAGAGTAGTAAAGCAGAAAGCTCTCTTTGATGATGAAAAATCTGTAGTGGGTGGTGAGAAGGAGGACAACCAGGAGAGAAGGGGAGAGGTTTCTCAGGCAGGAGCATTCTTGGGGGCTCTGGCCTCACATGGAGGCCCCTGGGGACACCAGCTCAGGCTCATCCTCACCAGCTCATGACCCACTCTGTGCCAAGGCTGCAGCCACCAGTCAGCAGCCCTGCAGGCAGCCTGGCCCCGGTGCCAGAGAGCCTGAGAGTGGGGCCCGTGCCTGGCTTCCCTGGAACCGTCACCCTTGGCACAGCAGGATAGCTGTGGTCCTTTCCCTCAGGTACCTTTCACCCCCTTGAGCTGTCACCCCCAGTCACTTAGGGTCCCCTCCAAGAGGAGAAGAAGATGCCAGATTCTGAGATGGGCCCCTGGGCATGTAACCGTGAAGTCATGAAGGCTGGCCATCAAATGGAATGAAGTGGCGGACTGGTGGGGCCAGGTCTGTGACCCCGAATATCTCATGTGACACCTGCACTCTCTTGTTGCAGGCTGCTCCCCAGCCACCTTCAGGGACTCAGGGCTAGCTGTGACTTTGGTGCTTTCTGACTGTTGGAGAGGTGCCATCCTGGGTGACCACATGTGGTGGCACCTGGACCCACCCAGGGGACACTGCAGAACTAATAACTGGAGCTATGATAAGACACATGAAGTGCCCTCCAGGGGAAAATCCAACGGAGCCTCAAAGCTCCCAGGCTCAGGGACTCCCAGCGGGGCTCATCCTTCTCCAGGGCCTCGGCTAGTACTGCTGTTGCAGGATGGGGTCTGAGCACAATGTGTGGGGGTTCTGGAAGCTGTGGTGTGTGTGCATGTGTGTGCGTGTGTGTGCATGTGTGTGTGTGTGCATGTGGCCATGGGGGAATCTTAGGGCAACAGTGCGCTGGAATCGGCCCAGAGAGCCTCTGTGCCGTGGCCTTGTGGCTTTATACTGGCCACGGTGGGAGTATTTACACTGTAAGAATTAAAGGCTACACTGCCCCGCCCTCTTCCCTGGTGCCTGTGGCTGACTTTTTTTTTTTTTTTTTTTTTTAATTTGCTATAAGGCACATATACTTGCTAGAGAGATAAATGAGAAAGTGAGAAGGCACCCCCAGAGGAGATGGCCACGATATGATCCCTTTTCCTCTATCTCTTCTCAGGACTTTGGGAATGCACCCACATGCACCCATTGGGTTTTTCTTTTCTTTTTCTTCTTTTAGAGATTTTTGCTACAGGGTGTGTGCACTCACTGGAGAGACTGAGACAGAGACAGAAAGTGAGAAATCACCCCCAGGGGGGATGACCAAGCCACAATTCCTTCTCTATTTTCCACTCGGGATTTTGGTACCCACACACACATGTGAGTTTAAGTCGCCAGGTCCAGGACTCAAACCATGGTCAACTACATGAAAGTCCAGCAACATAACCATTACGCCATCTGCTGGTCCTCCGGTGTGTTTTTCAACTCACCAGCCTAGGATTTGAATTGTGCAGTCGGTGACGTGGATCCAGCTGCCTTACCCTCCATGCCGCCGGCAGAGCCTGCTATTAAACATTTACCAGCACACTCCTCCTTCAAAGTGCCCTCTTGGGAGGGGCTTGCAAAGCTGCCATGGACATCATGAAGTCGGTGAATCGCTCAGGGTCCTTTCAGCCATGTGACCTTTTCCAAGGCCACAGCTGCTCAGGGAAGGCAGGCCTGCGACTGTTGACAGCTGCCATCTGTCCTCTCCCAAGGAGAGCGAAGCTTAGCTTTATACTAACCCATTTCTTTATTTGTGTCATCCTTCTCTACCCAGCCACATGTAGACGTAGTCCTGTGGCCCCTGCTCAGGAGTACCACCCTGTTCACGCCAGCTCTCCCCCCAGACCTTTCTGCCCTCGATGGAGACAGAGCACATGAATGCCATGCCTCCAGAATTGCAGACATCCCAGGCCCTCCAGCACCTCTCCCTGGCCCCCTCACAGCCTTCCTGCCACTCTGCCCCCCGGCAGCCCGAGCGCTGAGCTACTGCTTACCCAGCTCGTGCAACCACGCTGGCATGACCCTGCAAGTGGAGACCATGCTCTGCTACCTGCAGTGCCCCTCTTGCCCTCCACCTGCTGAA